AAGGTGCTGGATATCTACACTGCCAGTGACCACAACGTGATTCTCTGGGAGATATCAAATGACCAGGATATTAGAGGAACTAGTAGGTTACCTAACCACATTCGGTGGAGAGTCAAATCTTTCGACGCGGTTACGCTGACGACTGCTTTGGATAATGGCCCGATCACTGCTGGATGCGCAGAAGATCAGACTAAAGAATTTATGAAAAGAGTGACCGAAGCTTGTGACGTCAGTATGCCACGAAAACGGGGCATAAATAGAAGACCCGCGGTGCATTGGTGGAACGATCACATCAGCGCTCTTTGTAAAGAATGTCTCAGGAAAAGAAGAAAATCACAGCGTGGCTCCCGTCGACCTAATTTTGCAGAACTGGTGGCAGAGTATAAAAAGGCCCGTCGGGAACTAAACAAAGCCATCAAAGACAGTAAAAGACGCTGTTGGAAAAAACTCGTCGAAGAAGTGGAGAAGGACCCATGGGGCAAACCGTACAAGGTGGTCACGGCCCACCTGAAATACCAGCCAATGCCGTCGCCTACGTGTCCGCGGCTCCTAGAGAGGATTGTTACTGTGTGTGTGTGTGTGTGTGTGTGTGTATGTATGTATGTATGTATGTATGTATGTATGTAAACCTCTTATAACTTTTGAACGGCTTGGCCGATCGGATCGAAATCTGTGGCGATCCAAAGAGTATCATAGCCATGAAATTTCCTGAAAATTTGAATCGATTCGGTTTGCTAGATTTTTAGAAATCTCGAAAACAAAATTTTCGAAAAATCGTTTTTTTGGAATAACTTTTAAACGGCTTTACCGATCGATTCCAAAAACTTATCAGCTCTTAACCTTAAAAAACCACGTCGATCACCGTTGGACCGGTCAAAATCGGTTTATTCGTTCGTGAGATATCGAAAACGAAAAATTTCAACAAAAATATTTTTTCAAAAAATCTCTTAAATGGCTTCACCGATTACTTCCAAAAACTAATCAGCTCTTAACCTTGAAAAACCACGTCGATTGCCACCAGTCCCATCAAAATCGGTTAATTCGTTCGAGAGTTATCAAAAACGAAAAATTTCGAAAAAAGTGTTTTTTTCAGATAACTTCGACATTTCTTGACGAAATAAAATAATTATCAGAGCCCAAAAAATCACGTCGATCGCCACCAAAAACGTGAAAATTGATTGATTGGTTCGTAAGTTATCGAAAAAATTTGAAAAAATTCAGAAAAAGTGAATTTTTCAAATTTCTCTAAGATTTTCGGTTCGACCAGTTTGTGTTCAATAGTCTATCTAGATTCTGAAAAAGTGCGTGGATTACTGACAACCGCGTGAAAATCGATTCATTCATTTAGAAATGATTGTAGTTTGAAAATTCAAAAGATACTGTTGTATTAAACTTCTATCAGGCTTTTGAGCTCGAAGAGCTCTTAAGCATACAAGAGGTAATTCTTTCAGCTTGGAGAGATAAAAATAACACACAAATTGTATTTTTGAGCTTGAAGAGCTCAGAAACGTCATAAGTGCAATCTCAAGCGTTTAGGTGTGGAATTGGCGGGAAGTTGCAGGGATAGCCTTCATGGTCAACCGTTTTCCAGATTTTTTTAGTAGATTTTATGAAAATCTAATTATTGCAGCCGTCCTCATGGCGCAACTTTTAAAAAATTTAGCCATTTTCTGACTCAGTTTGTCGAGCTGAGTCAGAAAATATATATAGTTCTAAAGTTTATATATGTATGTATTTAAATATATTTAATTGTTACAATTCGATTTATATAATAATAATATTTTTGAAATTCAAATTAAATGCACGTTTAAATTGTTGCAAAAGAGATACAAATATCTCATTTTCAATTTTTCCGCCAGAAAATGTTGATTGGAACATTCGTCAAAATTTCGTTTCATAAATCCTTGTTAAAGAAAAGAAATTTTTTTTTTAAACACAAATAAATACCGTTGTAAATACCCAAACTTTGGATGGCTTTATTTTTCCATTTTTGTAAATTCGATTTTTTCGCCGAGATATCGATTGTCAAAGTTTTCGATTGTCCGCAAAGTTCACACTCATAAAAATTTCTAAAAATTTTTTATTTCGACGACAACCAAATTTTTTCTTTATTATATAATCAATTCTGTTACCATTGAGTATTTTAATTGATTGTTATGTGATTTATTCTTAAAATAGACCCTGAGCAAATATGTGTAATGAAGTTGGTCATGTAATGTTTTCGTCACTTCGTTGTTCACGTATATCATAATAGTTTTTTATAATTGTCTTGGATTCACAATTGTTATGGTTATTAGTAATAACAATTAAAATTATTCGCAATGGATAAAAAAAAGCGGGCACTTCGAGAGAAATGGTCTTTTTCTGGATATTTTTATCATTTTAAAAATTCATATTTCAATAAACGTTTAGGAAAATGGACATGGTTAATATCCTTAAGTTTGATCCCGCGAGAAAATATCCCCGACAAACTATCCCCCAACAAGATCTCTTTTAGACAAAATATCACAACACATAAGCTTATGACCGTTTTGTGCCCTTTTATCATGGATTTTGTGTATGTTTATTCGAAATAAGACTAACACCGAGGACATTTTGTCCGGGGATATTTTGTCGCGGTACAATTAAGTTTTACATTCCTTGCAATAATCAATTTATAAGATAACAATGGAACTACAAATTATGATCGATTCAGCTAATAGTAACGAATTTTTTCTCATTACATTGTTATTCAGGTATTTTAAATGTATTTATGATAATTCGAAGACTAAGTGGTGCAATGGTGGTGGTGTGATAATTGACAACTACTTCAGTGAGTCTAAAAAATTTCCTCATAAACATGATCGAAATTTAAAGTTGGCTGACAACATTAAATTTTTTAAAACTCTAAGACAAATTTCATGTTTACCATCTATAAAACCGAAACAAGTTGTGAAAGCTTTACAACGAGAGTAAGTATGCAACTTTTCATACATTCTTACTATTTTGTGCTATAATTTGTCAGTGTTTTCATGAAATTAATCTCTTTCTGTGTCCAAACTATTAACTTTTAACTTGTCTCAAATAATCAATTGAAATTAAAATTTTTTAACCTTTCTCCAACATTTAATCATTAAAAAATTTGATGAGGTGATACTTTCTATTCACTTTTTAAAACATGTGTATAGTTATAAAATCGATTATCTGCGTTAAATATGACTTTGTATTCTGATTACCTATAATTTAATAAAACGTCATCATAATAAATTGGCTAATGGATCTTTTAACATTATTTTTTTCTTCAGTGAACCTAAAGTAACATCGTCTTTATCATTGTCTACTTTACGCAAGAGGGTGCAGCGATCTATTAAAAAAGAAAATCCGGTCAATACTAATATCAAGTTAGCATCTAAAAATTTGATAGAATTCGGAAAAAACATGGAAAGTTCAGCCGAAGAACTAAAATATGGATTGCGTAAAGAAATGCAATTAACATCCAAGCTTTTAACGTTTCAAGTTCAAGGTAGCAAACGTGAAGTAAAGGAAGCTACTGCTGTTATTATATACGATGCAGATTTCTTGGAAGAAATTAGTCCTTTCGTAGAAGTTATTTCAACTGACGCGACTTTTAACTCATTTCCTGATCTGCATGTGCATAAAGGGCAGTTTATGACAATTATGGTTCAATTACGAACTGATAACGATTGTCAAAAGGTATTTCACAATTTTTTTTCATTTGATTTTGGATGAAAATTTTGTGATTACTAAATATTATTTTGCGTAAGCTTGATATGCGTTCTTAAGGAGCTGACAAAATATACTTTTTAGCTATTTGACGAGATACTAAATTAGTAGAAATTGAAATTACGTACAATACAATATTTAAACATAAATTATGTACAGGTAACTACAATTTTTTTTTAAATACTTGTAGGCTATACCTTGCGCTTGGGTTCTTATGAACAACAAAAGCACATGTTATTTGCGAGTGTTTAAATTCCTGGCTGACAATTTCAAAAATTTCAAGCCAAAATACTCTATGACTGACTATGAGATTGCATTAAGGAACAGCCTGAAAGAAATTTTTCCTGGCATTCAAACAAAAACCTGTTATTTCCATTATAGCCAGGTTAGTTTAATTATTCCAATCTTTTTATTTGATGTCAGAACAATGAGCTCTTCGAGCTCAAAAATCTAATAGAAGTTTCATCGAACACGACTTTTTGAATTTTCAAACCGCAATAACATTTGAATGAATCTACCGATTTTTACCGGCATGGTGGCGATCGACATAGTTTTTTGATGTTAAAAGCTGATTAGTTTTCAGAATCGATCGGTAAAGCCGTTTAAAAAGTTATTCCAAAATAACCATATTTGAAAAAATTTTTAACTTCCCGCTTATTTTTCGTGGTTTTTTTTAGATTTCTCAAAATCTACCAGCCGCCATCGGTCCAAATTATATTCCAAATGTAAATATGACCAAAGCCTTTTGAACGACGCTAACTGCGATGAACTCGGTCAATCGGTAGGAGGTTTACACACACACACATACACACACACACACACACACACACACACATACACACACACACACACACACACACACAGACGTACGGATATCATCGTAAAAATAGTCAGCTCTCAAATTCAAGACATGACGTCGATTGCTTTAAACATCACCCAAATTGGCTATCGCGTTGGAGAATAATCGTTGATGAAAAATTTTAGAAAACTTGTTTTTTTAATATAACTTGAACATCTATTTTTGAATCAGTTTTAATATAATTAGTTAAATACTATTGCTTAGGAAACTGTTTCGAACGTTACAAACATTTGTGAAAATCGATTGATTCGTTTGTGTAAAATATTTAATTTTCAAATATTCAACAAAAGTGTTATAAATGTTAATTTTGTGCTTCAAAAATTGTGTTACATGCTATGAACCGACTAAAAAGCGGTAGATTTTTTCTGGACATCAGAATTCAATTAAAAAAAAAAAAAAACCTTGTTCTTAACAATAAATCGATTTTCAAGTTTTAAGAGCCCAAAAAATTAGACAAGTTATATTATTGTATATTTGTAATAACAAAAAGATTCCTACACTTTATTTTATATTTTAATATAGGCCGTGATCAAAAATGCTCAGGAAAAAAAGTTGATAGACAAGGATAACTGTAAAGAAGAACGCCCAGAACTTTTCATTTTCCTAAACCGGTTGAAACTTCTTGCTTTGTTACCAGCTGAATTAATAGAAAGTGTTTATGAGAAAATAAAAAAAGAATGTTTGAACGATTTTGGCGATTGTTGCAGTGATTACCTGAATTATTACGAAAAGCAGTGGTTGAAGCAAGAAGGGGCAGAGCAGATTTCTGTTTATAGACTACGTAATCGAACTAATAATTTTTTAGAAAGCTATCACAAGCAATTAAATGCTGTCTTACCAAAAAGGCCGAAACATAATGTATTTGTTGGTAAGTACTTCATTCTTTCGTAAGTATATCATATGAAAAAGTAATCAAATAATATATTCAATAAAAATTGACATCATTCCCTTGAAAAAAAATTTACCTGGTTCGATACAAATTTTGGAACATGGAAGTAATTCTAAACAGTTCTATTGTATTGAATGATGAAAAAATGGTTATGAATCAAGTAAATTTTAATAGACCAATAAAAATTTTATAGTTCAAAAATTTTTTAACTTCATTGAAGACAATGAAACTTTTCAAAATGATTTTTTTTTGGTTTAAGAGCTTGTCTCTTGACTAAAGTTAATTTATTTTCAATTCAATTATTTACAGGTATTTTCTACAATAATTTTATAATAACTCTAATTACAATAGTAGGTATCTATGAAATATTTAAATTAATTGATATCAAGCAGCCCGCGGGTTTTTAAAATGAAAAATTTTTAATTAATAATAATTTAATATTTTTTAATCAGATTTGCTATTGAAGCATCTTTTATTGGTTTTTAAATGAAAATTTATTAAAAATTTTTTTAGTATAACTTGAAACGAGAAACGATAAGAGGACCCGGTGGTATAGCGGCCTGAAATTTAAGCTATTTTAAAAATTTTATTTCCATATGAAGGCAATGACTAATGCTATCAAATTTTTTTTACATTTATTCTATTTCTTATCAACTACACAAAAATAAATATCAAAACAACAAAAAATTTTATTTTAAATAATAAAAATGGCGCTGGAGTCCCCCTCTTAGAAGAAAAATGGACCTGATTGGTAGAAATAAATTGATCTCTCCCTCTGATCTGAAATTAAAAAATATGACTGATTTTTAATTAGTATAAGTATAGTTATCGACAACAGTAGAATGAAAAAAAAAAAAATATTTGACAAAATGGAGCGTAGTTAAAAATATTTTTTGAAAATGAATTTCGGATTTTTACTTTTAACTATGCGCCATTTTGTCAAATATTTTTTCATTGTAGTATTGACGATAACTGTACTTATACTTATTAAAAATCAGTCATATTTTTTAATTTCAGTTCAAAGGGAGAGATCACTCTTCTTCCACCAGTCCGGTCCATTTTTTTTAAGAGGGGGACTTCAGTGCCATTTTTCTAATTAAAAAAAAATTTTTTTCCCGCCAACCAAGTGGCCATTATAGCCAAGGTAATTGCTGTCTATCCAGGCGAAGATGGGCAAGTCCGCGTGGTAACTGTTAAAACAGTTAACACAGAGCTGGTACGCCCAATTACAAAGCTCTGTGTCCTGCGCCTGATGCATGAAGAAGATGATCTTGTCGACGCAGCCGCCAACCAGGGGGAGAATGTTCGGTGAACAAGGCACAGTAGCGATTAATTCGCTTCTGGGGGACTTCCAATTTCAAGAGACGCACCTGTCCACCGCAAGTTCCCGCAAAATCGAACCGCCAATGGAAAATTAGCTTCTCGATCACGCCATGGATCGACCGCTTTATTGGCTGATCGCTCTCGCTGGACATGGGCAATAGCCTTCTTCCCCAAGTCCACGAGGAAGAAGACGAATTATTATTATTATCTTTCGTTACACTGCCATTAAGTCTAACGCTTCACTTTCCCGCTATTTTATTTCGCTTATTGTTAATTGACCGCATTTCGCTAATTTAATAATTTAACTTACTTTAATTAATTGCTAATAATTCCCTTTAGTTTGTAACAGAGAAATTGTGTTATTTGTGCATTTAATTCACCGCTTTTACAGTGCCGGCAGAGTGTTCAACTACGTGTCAACCGGCTTCGCTTTTGCAAACCACGCTGTGTATTATAAATCCGCGTTTATCTAAACAATCCGCTATTGAACATATTAAATATTGAGTGTATTTATTGTAAATAAATTCCTAGTGTTAATTTTGATAATAATTTACGCGTTTTAATTGAGATATCCAGACCGAAACCTGGTCCCAGCTTTTCCGCTCTTTCAGCATTTTACAATAATAAATATATTTTATTATATTTAAAATATAAAATGACATATATTTTTAATATATCCAAAATATATATTATTTCCATGGGGGACGAAAAACCGACTTGATGAAGTTAGCTATAGTCAACATTTTAGTTTTTCAAAAATAGGTACCAACAAAGTAAAAGTAAAGACATCTCCGTATGTTTGCGTGAGAGCTGACAACTGTAATCACAATATTTATTTATTTAAGTGTTTCTGAACTTACCACACGTGTTTTGTATCGGTCCAAATGAAATATATACAAACGTACATAAATATATATTTTCTCAAATAATATTAAAACAATTTACTGGGATTATAAGTGATAATAATTGTTTTTATATATTACTTTGAGTGATTATTTTAAGTGCTAAAAATATTTTTTACATATTCCTTTGAATACTTTTATAGAATTTGGGGTTAGTTGACGGAAAATATTATTTACTTACATCATAAACTAAAATAAATTTTCACATTCTTATTTAATGTCTGATAAGTTTATAAATAAATTAATGAATTAATAATAAATACAAATAATAATAATATTTAATCTCGAAAATATTAAATGTTTCTAAATATTAAATTAAATTTAATGTTTCTTTCTTAAAGTAATCTAAAAATTATTAATAACAAAATTTACTGTCAGATTGTCCCATACACAGTACAACATGACGATAGTATCAAAATAAATTTTAATAAATATGTATTTGGAACACACTAATAAACGTAAACGAATTATTAAATTAATCATAACGAGAAATAATTGAAAAAAAAAAACAATTTAAAATAAATTTTTAGAAAGATAAAATTTTTAAAAAGATTTCTATCTTGTTACAACTAAAAAGTATAACTTCTAACGCGTGTACATAAGTACACAAACACTTTTTTTTTATTTACACTATTATTAATTTATATTTATTGAAATTTTTGACGCTATTCTTAATTTAAATTTATTAAAATTTATTTTCTATTTTTAATTTCCCGCTAAGAAATCGAAGATTTTCAAAAATCGGAAAGTTATTGTTTTCACCCCTTTTTGCAAAAATCGAGTTTTAATCAGATCTCGACGTTTAAAGGTCACAGGAAGCTTCCCTGACTATCCCCGCGAGGTTGTTACTATGTCTGTATGTATGTGTGTGTGTGTATGTGTGTGTGTGTGTGTGTGTGTGTGTT